ATACTTTAATAAAAATGAAAATATTTGCTTTGTTTGAATAACTTCCCTTCCTCCAGAAATTTCATGCCACATTCCCCAGATATCCCTCTGACTGAAAGAATCTCTTCTTAGGGTTCCAATGGCCCCTTGCCCATAACTGTGTTGGAGCACACTATACTCTAAAAATACTTGCTAACACTTACTGAGTGCTCACTATGTTCCAGGCATTATTCTAAGAACTTTCCATGCATTATCACACTTAATCCTCAGATAACATGAGAAGGAGACACTCTTATTTTATAAGTGAATAAATAGAGAACCAAAAGGGTTAAATAACGTGCCAGAGGGCCATGTTAAGTAGACGAGCCAGAATTTAAACCAAGGCACCCCAAAACTCATGCTTTTAAATCATTCTATCACAGAGTATCATTTATATGCTACTGTGTTTATATAGGACTTCCCTGGTGGATTGAGAGCTATTTTCATGTCTTATTTACCCTTGGCTCTCCAGCACAAAACACAGCACCTAGTTTATGACAAGCAATAGCAAGAGGCATAAAAGACATGAACAGGGAATTCAAAGAGAAGGATTTAAAGTGTTTAATGGACATAGGAAAAGATGTTTAAGCTTTAAAAACAATTAGAGAAATCCAAATAAGATGGCATATTTTGTTTGTTAAATGTCCAATGTTGTTGAAAGTAATGGACAATGGATATTTTTATTCTTACTTTTTAGTTGTTCTTATACAACTTCATAGGAAACCTTTTGGGGGAATATTTAGGGGCACCTGGGTGGCTCAATCGATTAAGTGTCTTCCTTTGTCTCAGGTCATGATCTCAGGGTCCTGGGATCAAGCCTGGCATTAGGCTCCTGGCCCAGTAGGGAGTCCACTTCTCCCTCTGCTTCTCCCCCTGCTCATGCTCACATGCACGTGCGTGCTCTCTCTCTCTCTCAAATAAATTTTAAAAAGTCTTTTAAAAAAATGCTAATGTTCATAATCTCTACTTAAATGATTGAATTCCTGGGATGTATCCTTCAAGAAAATTCTCGTCTATGCATACAGTGACATTTACAAGGCTGTTCATCACAGGATTTTTTTTAAATAACACCTTTATTGAGACATAATTCACAAATCATAAAATTTGCCCTTTCAAAATGTACAATTCAGCAAATTTTAATATATACAAAAAGTTGTGAAATCTTACCATGATCTACTTTTTGATCATCCTAAAAAGGAACCTTGTACCATTATCAATCACTCTGTGTTGCTGTCTCCTCTTAGCCCCTGATGTAAACACTAATTTACTTTGTATTTCTGTGGGTTTATCTGTTCTGGACATTTCATATAAAGGAAGTTATACAATATGTGACTTTTTTTTTTTTAATCTGGTTTCTTTTCTTTAGCCTGTAGTTTTTAAGTTTCCTCTGTGTTGTAGCATATAACAATGTTTCATTTATTTTTGTTCTCAAATAACATCTACATACCACATTTTGTTCATCCTTTCATCATTTGGCTAACATTTAGGTTGTTTCTAGTTTTTACCTACTATTAATACTGCTACGAAGAAAATTTGTGTGCATATCTTTGTGTAGACATATGCTTTCATTTCTCTTGGATATGTACCTATGATTAGAATTGCTGGATCATTTCTTTAACATTTTAACATTTTGAGTAACTGCCGAAGTGTTTTCCAAAGTGGCTGTGCCATTTCATTTTATGGGTTGCTGTTTTTTTTCATTTTCTTGATGGTTTTTCTGGTTGTGAAAGCACAAACATTCTTAATTTTAATAAAGTCTGATTTTTGGAGGGTTTTTTGTCCTTTGTACTTTTGGTGTCACATCTAAGAAGTCATTGCCTAACCTAAAGTCATGAATATTTACTTCTAGGTTTTATTCTTAGATTGGTAGAGCACCACCTCTTATATTTAGGGCTATAAATAATTTTGAGTTAAAATTTTTATGTAGTGTAATGATAGGGATCCAAATTCATTCTTTTTGTGAAGATATTCAGTTTCCAAGGATGACTTGTTGAAAAGACGACTTTTTCCCATTGAATTTGCATTGCGCCAAGGTTAAAATCAATTAACCAGAAGTTACTATAAATTATTTCTGGACACTCAATTTTATACCATTGAACTCTCTGACTCTCCTTATGCCAATACTTGACTGTTTTGATTACTATAGCTTTTTATTAAGTTTTGAAATGGGAAAGTGTGCGTCTTCCAACTTTGTTTTTTTCAGAGATCACTTTGGTTATTTGGGGTCCTGTGCATTTCCATATGAATTTTAGGATCAGCAAATATGGAGAGTATTACCATCTTAAAAATCCATGAACATGGGATGTCTTTCCATTTATTTATATCTTCTTTAATTTCTTTCAGTTATGTTTTGTACTTTTCAGTGTACAAGTCTTGTACTTCTTTTGCTAAATTTATTCCTGAATATTTTACTTACTCCATGTTATTGTAAATGAAATTGTTTTCTTAATTCTATTCTTGGATTGGTCATTGCTAGCATATAGAAATATATTTGATGTTTGTATCTTAATTTTATATATTACAACCACATGGAGCTCATTTGTTAATTTGAATAGTTTCTTTGTGGATTTCTCAAGAATTTTTATATACAAGATTATGTCTTCTGCAAATAAAGATAATTTTTTCTTTCTTTTCAATATGGATGCCTTTATTTCTATTTCTTGCCTTATTGTCCTGGCTGGAACTACCAGTACACTGTTGAATATAAGCAGCAAGAGCAGACAAGTTTGTCTTGCTCTGATCTTAAGGGGAAAGTATTCAGTCTTTCAATGTTAAATATGATGTCGTTTGTTTTCATAGATACATTTATCAGATTGAGGAAATTCCCTTTCATTCTGTTTTTTGAATGTTCTAACATAAACGGTATTGGATTTATCTAATAATCACTTCAATAACACTTTTTAAAAAATACTTAATTTTAAAATATATAGTTTTTTTAAAAACTATTTATTGAGATGATCATGTGGTTTTTGTCCATTATTCTATTGATATTGTTATTATATTAAATGATTTTCAGCTGTTAAAACAACTCTGCATTCCTAAGATAAATCCCACTTGGTCATGGTATATAATCCTTTGCATATGTTGCTGGATTCCCTTTGCTAGTGTTTTCATGAGGATTAATGGACTGATATTTATGAAGGATAATGACCTGCAGTTTTCTTTTCTAGTAATACCTTTGTCTGTGATACCTTTCTCATATGAGGGTAATATTGGCCTTGATGAATGAGTAGGGAAGTGTTCCTTAAACTTCCATTTTTTGTAAGAGTTTCTGAAGGATTGATATAAGTTCTGTAAACATTTCCCTCTAAGTACTGCTTTAACTGTACCCCAAAAGTTTTTAAATTCTGTGTTTTTGTTTTATGCATCTTAAACTATTTTGGAATAGTCAATGTGGTTTCTTCTTTGACCCATTGATTATTTAGGAGTAGGTTGTTATCCAAATTTCCAAATTTTTCATCTCTTATTGATTTGTAATGTAATTAGAAATTGTGATCAGATAACATATTTTGTGTTATTTTACTCCTTTTAAATTTGTTTAAGATTGATTTTTGGCCTAACATATGATCTATCTCAGAGAAATTTCCATGTGTACTTGAGAAGATTATGACTTCTGCTATAGTTGAGTAGAATATTCCATAAATGTCTCTTAGGTTTAGCTGGTTTTGTTCAAGGTTTCAATTTACTTTTTGGTCTGCATATTTTTTCTACCTATTATTGAAAATGGGCTGTTGAAGTCTCCAACTGTTACTGATGCATTGTCTATTTTTCCCCTCAATTTGTCAGGTTTTGTTTTGTGAATTTGGGGACTTTGTTTTTACATGCATATATATTTATAATTATCTGTATTTTGATGTATTAACTCTTTTATCACCATAAAATGTTATTCCTTGTCCACAGTTACAGTTTTTGTTAAAATCAATTATATCTACTATTTGTATAGCCAGTCCTCCTCTCTTTTGTTTACTGTTTATACAGTAACATACAGATGTTTTCACATCTCTTGACTTTAATCAATTTATGTATTTGAATCTAAAGTGTGTCTCTTGTAGGTGCATATAGTTGAATAATGGGGTTGGAGTTTTTTTCATTCATTCTGTAAATCTCTGCCTTTTGATTGGAATATTCAATTCATTTACATTTAATGTACTACTTAAAAGATATTTACACTTGTCATTTTACTATGTGCTTTCTATATATCTTATAAACTTTTTTCTTTTTTTTGTAATAGCCTTTTTGAATTAAATATTTTTAGTGTACCATTTTAGTTACCTAGTTGCTTAGTTTACTATACATTTTGTAGTTATTTTCTTGGTGGATTACCTGGAAATTATAATAAATAATTTAAACAGATTAATACCAACTTAATTTCAAAAGTATGCAAAATCTTAGCTCCAATATAGCTATGATTCTTTTCCCATCTTTTGTGCTATTATTGTTGTACTGATATGTCTTTATACATTATAAGACCCCAAACATAGTTTTACCATAGTATATAGATTTATATGGTGGCACTGTGCCCAATATGATGAACGACATCAAGGAGTCACAGAGAAAGTCTAAGATAAAAGACAGATAGTCCAGCTGTGAAGACAGGAGTAGGTCACAACACAGTTCTGGAGCAACCAGACATGGAGTGGAAACACTAGTTCAAGAGAAGAGAGTGGAGAACTTGGTGTGGGTGAACATAAAGGGAAGGCTCCATGGAGAAAGAAATTTTTTTAAATGGGTGGAAATTAAATAGAGGAAAGACTGGAGGATATTTGAGGAGGAGAAGTGAATGGGCAGCATATAAGAAAAAGTAGACAAGATGAAATTACAGTGATAGGGAAATAGATGTCCAAGTCTAATAGGAACTTGCCAGGTTTCTCACATCCATCCTATCCCAGGGAGTCCTTGCATGTAAGCTCAGCTTTAGTTTCCCTATCCTGGGGCCACCCCGAGAAGCTAATTATGTCTTATGTCTGATTGACTCTCCACAGCTTCCCTTCACTGAAGGCCTGTACCACTTTTATCACAATGGCCTTGCAAAGGCCAAGAGAAGACGCAGCCTACATCACAAGCAGCAGCTGGAGAGAGACCCCAGGGTGAGTTTCTCTGGATACCTGCCTTTCATTTCTGCCACAACTGAGCCCACTGGCAGGATGTATACAGGGGTGGGCTGGGAATTTTGAAGTAAAGACACTCAGTGTATGTGATAAGCAAAATGGATCCTTAGCAGAGTGACACTGGAGACTCTCCACTCCTCTACCTTGTGCATAATAAGTAAGTCTTTTATAGGCTATGGGGCAGGGGAGGAATAAACAGAGATACCATCCCTTTACTCACTGTCTTCTACATTATTGTGTTTACACTTCTGGTTGCCTCAGAACTTGTTTTGGCAAATGATGGATGGGGAGAAGCCAAACTGTTTAATTATTCATTTTATGGAAGGTTTCTACTGGTGAGTCCTATGCTCTGAGGAGGTTGCTGTGCCCCATTTTGGGCATGGAGAAAGGACTGGGCCAACAAGTGATTAGCTCACCATAGGCAGCAGGCTTCTCAATATCCATGTGTGTTTGCATCCACAAGACCACCTCAGCTTCTCTCCTATATTTTCTCACACTCATCTAATTTATCTTCATGCCTCAGTGGTGCTCATAACCCCCATTTTTAACTTACAATCCTTACTTTGCTCTTAGAATCCAGATCTCATTTCATACTCACCCTGGAAGCTTAAATTCTCTTTTCCTCAATCGAACTTACTACTTTGCCCACAAAGCAGCTCCTTTTCTATAATAGGAATTTGGTCATCCCCGAATCCTCCTTCATCAAATCTCTTCTGCCATTCCCCCTATACTTACAGATTCATTCAACTGAGTAAAATAATTTCTATTATGCAGTTCACTAAAAGGGAAATTAATAATCCAGGCAAATTGCTCTCTGTACATTGACAGCTGCATAATTCTTCTCCAGAACTCTTGGGGGAAAGTGGGTATAAAATGGGTCAGACATTTGAGTTAGGGATTTACACATGAGACTCTTTTTGAATTGATGAAATCTGGAAACTCATTCTTGTGGGCTTTTCATGTGAACATTTGACTGGTTTTAATTTGGGCTTTAATTAGGAATACAGATGAAACAGACTCTCCAGCAGACCACCAACTGACAGGCCACAGGCAATTTTCCTTTAACTCCTCAACCCAGGGGATCCCCCACTCCCTGGAGTGGAAATTCTGCTCTGAGAAGCCACTTTATCTACTTTCACAGTAAGATCCAAGCTGCTTGCTGTCAGCCCATGATAGGCATTCTTAAAGGTTCTGCTGAAGAAGCTGGCACCATTATCTAAGGAAAAAGCTCTCTTTTCTATGTCATAACAGCCTTCACCCTGGCTATATCAATTCAAGGCTTGGGGAATCCCTTGGGAAGCCTATGGACAGAAATCCTCTGTGTCTCACCTATGGAGATGCCCGTAGACAAAGACCACTCTGGGGTACTGGGGCACTGGTTCTCCCTGCATTTCATTCCTGTGCTATGATCTTACTCTTTATTGCCAATTATTTTCCTTTTATTTATATATTTGCTTTAAAGTACCATTGGATTCTCCTCTTTCATGATTAAAGATGTTGCTTCAAGATTATCCGGAGAGAGAAACATAAAAGAAACTGGGGCAGAAGGAAAGAGAGGCTTGGGAAAGAGACCTGAGGAACAGGGAAACTAAGAACCGATTGTTTGGGTCAGAAAGACTCCCTGAGCCCATTAGACTAAGATATTCTTATTCTTGCACTTACTTGAAATGTTTATTCTTGAAGGTTAGAATGATGTTTCCAAAAAAGAAGAAAATAAGATAGGTTAGGTAATAAAAAAGGTCATGCACTAGTGATTCTAATAATTTGTCTTTCTCCTCAAAATATTGTCTGTTTTAACTAAAAGGGGCATCCAGTCCCCCTTCACTGCCCCCTAGAAGGGTTCTAGTGGCCATCTGCCTCTACATGGTGATGGCAATCATCTGTCCTAACAATAATCTGTATAAGTCAGTGGGGACACTAAAGATCATACATTTCTTGGACCTTTTCTCTGTCCTCTCATAAAGGATAAGTGTCAAGGCTGTGGTCCATAATAAAGTCATTCTGGGAAAAGAAATAAAGTATGAATCTCATAATTCTTTGGAAAAAAAAAACACTGCTAGTGATGACTGCCTCATTTTAAAACATTAGATTAACCCCTATCCTGCATAATGTTCTTTTAATTATCTAATTTTGGCATCAGGTGATAGCAAAATATGGAGGTGACTATTCTTTTTTTTATTCCAGTATAATTAACATAGAGTGTAATGTTATTTTTCAGGTGTACAGTATAGTTATTTAAAAATTCTATACATTACTCAGTGCTCATCACATTAGGTGTACTCTTAACTCCCACCACCTGTTTCAGCCCACCCCACCCACCTCCTCTCTGATAACATGTTCTTTATATTTGAGTCTGGTTTTTTTTCTCTCTTTTTTCTTTGTTCATGTTTTGTTTCTTAAATTCCACATATGAGTGAAATCATACAGTATTTGTCTTTCTTTGATTGGCTTATTTCACTTAACATTATACTCTAGATCCATCCATGTTGTTACAAATGGCAGGATTTCCTTCTTTTTATGGCTAGGTAGTATTCCATTGAATATATATAACACATCTTGTATATCCATTCATCTATCAATGGACACTTGGGCTGCTTCCATAATGTGATTATTATAAATAATGCTACAATAAACATAGGGATGCATACATCTTTTCAAATTAGTGCTTTTATATTCTTTGGGTAAATACTCAGTAATGGAATTGCTAGATCATATGGTAACTCTATTTTTAATTTTTTGAGGAACCTCCATACTGTTTTCCAAAGTGGCTCCACCAGTTTGCATTCCCACCAACAGTGCACGAGGGTCCTTTTTTCTCCACAACCTCATGGGGAGGAATATTCTTAAACAAAAAGCATTGACTATGACTGGTGTAAGAGTAGCAATATAAGGTTTCTGCCCTGTGGGTCTACTGATCTTAATTGAAAGGGCAAATATGTTGAGAGTTAGGATACCTCAGTCTTTGAGTTCCCAAGCACATTCACACAAGCTGCAAAAAGAAAATTAAATGGGAGTATCAGAGGGCAGCCTAGGTAGCCCAGTTGTTTTTGCAACCAACCTTTGATTTTGGCCCAGGTCCTGATCTCAGGGTTGTGGTACTGAGCCCCACATGGGGCTCCATGGGGCCATAGATCTTGCTTTGGATTCTCTTTCTCCCTCTGCCCCTCTCCCACCCCTTTCTCTCTTTCATTCCCTATAATAATAATAATAATAATATAGGAAGGAAACAGAAAGGACAAGGTAGCCAGAAAGGGTTATTGACACAGGCTTTTATCTCTTTGGTAGATGTTGCAAATTACATTTTGTGAACCAACATCTTAAGAGTGAGTTGTTTTGTCATTCTCTGAAACATGTCGTCTTCTAAACCTACCAACTTCATCACGCTTGCAGCTCCTGCTTCTTTCTCTGTCCTGTTTCCACATCACTCCCTGGCCTTTCTCACTCACTGTCCTGCAGCTTGGGAAGGAGGATGCAAATCCCAAGGAACCAGGCATGTAAGAATAGGAGGGTTTGAGCAGCTAGACTGTCAGAGCTGAATCCACTCAGTAGCTTTTTAGTCATAGAAACTGCCAAGGTTTGCTATCAACCCAAGAAATAAGGAAAAAGGTAGAGGGTGGAACTTGACTTTGGTTTTGCTCTAGCTTCAGAACAGAAATTTCAAGGAAGGTTGGTCCTTATTCAGCAAGTAATTTTTATGTATAAAGAAAACAAAAGAAAAAGATCATAACTGCTTTTTGTCCAGGCCAATAAAGTGCTGCTTCAATATGTTCATATTTATTCACTGATAGGCAGGACGATAACTAAGAAAATAGATTCTCATGCAGATCATTTCAAAGGTGTTCTCTTGCCTTCCCTTTTCTTTCTGCTAAATGAATTAGCAGAGTGACATTGTGTGTCAAACTACTCTCAAATAACATAATTTATTAAAGAATAATAAAAAATTAGAATGCTGACTGGCATTGTTTAGATGCTAAAAAGCAAAAATTGTGTCTTGTTTTTTTCTGGATGTCTTTGTATAGTGCAGGTCTGAATCCACAGTAGATGCTCCATAAATAACTGTCAAATGAATGGATAATTAATAATTTTTCCTCAGGGTTTTAATCCATGAAATAGTATCATTCTTCTCATCTTATATTTTTATACCTGTTCTATAATGTGTACCCTTTAGAAACAGGACAGCCTTCTTTTTAGCTCTTCCTTTAGAAATATTCTTAATTGTGCTTAAAGGAATCTAGTTGCCATTTTATTACTTCCAAGCCCTGTCACTGAGAACCCTGTGAAGAACCAGTTTTCAATTTCAAAAGTCCTGTACCCTGTGTTTCTGATCACAGTCATGGTCCTGGTACAACAAGCCAAGTGAGGACAATGTGTTTGGAAAGTTTGGGTAGCTAAAATAATGTGAAGAGGTAATAAGTAAATCCAAAGCTAGGATGAAATAATAAAGCTAAAAATGACTTCTCAGCGTGAGGGTTAGAGCAAAATATCCCCTGCCCAGAACATCTGTGGGATTTGTAATACAACAAATTGTGATTCAACAAATCTTTAAGCCAAACCTGATTTCAGTCCACAGTCTACATACCAAACTCCCACAGTCCCACAAGTACCTGAAAAGCTGCAGAGAATAGATCTATTTAAGATAATATTGGTTTCACAGTTACGTTGAACCATGCTTGCATCGACATAGCACTGAAATGAGATACACTAAAAAACATGAAGACTCCCATCATTCAATGAGCAATACACACTAGTTGCACAGAAGCCAAATAATTTAACAACAAATAACCTGAACGTTAATTGTTGAGAGAAGTTATATTGGATTTGAGAATTATAAACACTCCTTTTTCAAAGCAATTTTATTAGACCACATAATTATCCCTTAAATCATTTTTTAAAAATTTTTATTAACATATAAAATAACATACAGGTCTGTGAATCATCAGGCTTACACATTTCACAGCACTCACTATAGCACATACACT